GGCCTTCGCTGGTCCTTGGCTGGTCCTTGGCTGGTCCTTGGCTGGTCCTTGGCTGGTCCTTGGCTGGTCCTTGGCTGGACCTTGGCTGGTCCTTGGCTGGTCCTTGGCTGGTCCTTGGCTGGTCCTTGGCTGGTCCTTGGTTGGTCCTTGGCTGGTCCTTGGCTGGTCCTTGGCTGGTCCTTGGCTGGTCCTTGGCTGGTCCTTGGCTAGTCCTTGGCTGGTTCTTGGCTGGACCTTGGCTAGTCCTTGGCTGGTCCTTGGCTAGTCCTTGGCTGGTCCTTTGCTGGACCTTAAATGGACCTTGGCTGGACCTTGGCTAGTCTTTGGCTGGTCCTTGGCTGGACCTTGGCTGGTCCTTGGCTGGTCCTTGGCTGGTCCTTGGCTAGTCCTTGGCTAGTCCTTGGCTGGTCCTTGGTTGGTCCTTGGCTGGTCCTTGGCTGGTCCTTGGCTGGTCCTTGGCTGGTCCTTGGCTTAATTTCCCTTTCCAAATCCCAAAATACAAACAAGAGATCTAATATTTTCACTTTTAGACTGTAGTGTTTAGTCAGAGTTTTCTATGCTATGATTTGGACAAAATCTGTTGAACCAAAAATGCTTTATTTCAATATCTAATGTATTTTATGTCAACATATCCGACGCCTTTTATCCTCTATGTTCTCCAAACCACCCTGTAACATAAAGATCAGAGTCTGAAGCTGATGTTTGCTCTAGGTGTTGTTTATGAAATCCACTCTGACAGACGTGTCTTTTCATTATCACAGCCTTCTAAGGTTCACACCCACCTTTCCTCCCACGGCCCATTTTTTGTACCCCAAGGCAAATTATTGCAGCATTGCAGCAAAAACATGAGAATTTCTGTTATCAGTCCCTAATGTGACATTTTCCAGCTATCGCTGCTTTCTCTGCTTTAGCTGCAGCCCTCAGTGAGACGTTAGATGAACTTCCCTAGCCTGCAGGATCGCACTATGAACAGTCTGCATGTGCAAAAAGAGTGAGATCGATCGGTGCACTCTGCATAAAGGTGTGTGTGTGATTTATAGAAACCTGGTTGTAAGTAGTGTACGTGCTGCTTTCGTACATTTCTAAACTCTGCTCCATGCACACTTTGACAAATGAGACTCCCGGTTGGCAAATGCACTGCATGGTGGGTAGTTTGTGGGAGTCCAAGATTTAATTGAAAAATTATTTGTGCTGTGGAAATGCACAGGTACTTGCTCTGTGTGTTTGTGCACCTCATTGTGCCTGCAGGAGCGTGCATGCTGTAGGTGGAATAATGAAGTGGATTATGAGTCACCAAGTGTTGTGATGAGGGGGAACAGATCGATAAAATAAAGCAGATAGCAGCATGTTCAGTGCAGGAGAAGAGCGGTGCAGAACACGGCACTGGAGCTGGACTTTTTGGGGAGTGAATGCGTGTGGGGGGGCCACCCACACACGTCTCGTGTTTAGCTGATACCAAAGCTGCAAGACTCACACAGAAGCATCTTCTTTGCACGTCCATTTTTTCTAGTTTTTCAGTATCAGACTTTCGTATTTGTTCCATTAAGCTTCACATTTCCCAGCGTTGCTTTTTTTCCACTTTAAAGTTCATCTTTGACAAAATGTAGCTTCTGAAAGATGAAGATGTGTAAAGGCAGAGCAGAGACAAAGAGTTTGAGGCAAACAGACAGCAATCTAACATAGCTAGTGTACCCAGACTCTGTTCCCTTCACATAAAATCTGCTGTTTTCTCTGGAGACAAATAGTTTTTGATCTGATGAAATCCTCCAGCAGACGCCCACAGTGACAGTGTAAACCTGACAGGCCAGCCCAAATCAAAGATGAAGCCCTCTACTCTTCATTCTGTGCTTCCAAAAATAGTTTTGTTTGCATCAGCTGACATTTGGAGAATGATTGTTTTGACTCGTCTCTATCTTTCCACTCCTTTAAAGTCTTCATAGGTTGGACTTATATCGAAAAGGTTTTATACAGCAGAGTGAGTTCAGTATAAAACTTTGAATCAAATGAAAAGCTGATGAAAGAACAGCCGAGCCTAAAGTCTCTGCTGGACGCCATGAATGTGGACAGACTGTGTGAAGAAGCTGGCAGGGCCGAGGATTTATTTCCTCTCTCTCTCTCTCAGCTAAAGCTATCTGCTGTCTGGGATAATGTCTGTAAGACTCACACGTCTTCCATCATCAGGCTCTTATTTTCACTGGAGGTCACTGTTGTTTTCCTGTTTTATATACATGCATATTTACATTTAGATGTTTTTGCACTGAGTGTCAAATATAGAGAAACAGGTTATTCCACAGACCTGCGGTAGCGCTCCTTTTTACAAACAGGTGAAATGCATGCTGGGTAATTAAAGTAGTCATAACATGGTATCTTAGTTATACAGTTCTTCTGAAATGATATATCCAGAGTTTGACTTCATATGGATCATGTAGCATTAGCGACTTTAGCCACTTCGACACTTTAGATTGTCCAGCAGGTTTTAACTGAGGACCAGCAGCAACGCAAACATTTTGACATCAAAACATCTGATTTTCAGATGATGATACCTTTAAGTTCCTGAAACAGTAGAACCAGTAATGGAAAACATGTTGAGTTTTTTTATAATAAGCTCACCCAAACCAGTATGATCCAGTTTCAAGACTTTTGCATTGATGCTGTGAAGGATTATTATTTTAGGGTGCGTGGTCCTAATAGAACCTGCTCATTAGCCACTCAGTGTATCACAGCAGTAGGACACCTGTGTGCTTTAGTTAGGTTTAACTGCGTAAGAATTACTGCCATCTAGTGGTCAAATGAGGGTATTTCACTCCAACGAACACCAAACTCTAGCATTGCATTGCCTCAAACTAGTATTGGAACACTGGTTGCCGCTGTGTGACAAAAAGCTTCAGATGTGACCATGCCATTCGAAGTGAAGGGAAGTTTCTATTAGCTGGAATTCAGTTCGACAGAAAGAAAGCTGCTAAACCCACGTAAAGCTACAATCCTGTACCAACAACATCGGATCATGTTTGCTGATCTACTGTCATGTCTTCTATGCTAACAAGCAACACAGTCTGATCAAAGCGAATGGAAAAAGTTAGTGGTCCAGTTCACTTCAGCAGCCATTTTTAAAATCGTTCCTCTTCATTACCTGGAGACTTTCAGAATAAGAGACCGTCATGGCGCTTCGCAAACAAGTTACCAGCCTTATGCACAAACTAATATCCAATTGTTTTGGACTAAATTATTAGTCGAGGTAATATTAAATATGTAATACTAATAGACAGACTGGATAGGATCACATTTATTAAAATCCTTTTATAAAGGTGATTAGTTACTATCTATAACAGATAGAGAGTGCTGGACCAAGTACTCAACAGTAGTACTTGAGTAAAAGTATTGATACTTGTAGGCAGATCTTACTGAACTACATATAAAAGTTACTCAGTCAAACATTTACTCAAGTAAAAGTACTGAAGTACCCAGTTTTGAAAATATTAAAGTTTTAAAAAATATATGTAAATTATTATTTTTTTAATATCGGTACATTTCTGATAGATCCTACATCACCTGATAAAAAAACAAACTGGGAGAGTCTTAATTCTCCTCATTCTTTCACTTTGGAATAAAGGTTTAAGGTTGAATCTATAACCACATAGAAACTATAACTCTGCTTAGAGACAACTTGGCCACATGGCAACAACTAACACCGTAATAAAATAATAAACTAATAATATCTGCTCTGAGTTTCTCTCATCTGAGGAACGTCATTAAATCTCTAAATCAGTGGCGTCCAGATTCAGTCCTAATGGCTGCTATCCGCCATGATGGAATAACATTGAAAGAAAGAAAAACAGCAACAGTGGATTTAAAAGCTAAGCTGAGCCAAAAGGAAGAAGGAAGTAGGAGCTTCCTGGGAAAAAACTACTTAAGTACAGTAATAAAGTAAATGTACTTTGTTCCTTTCCACCACTGCAGATAGATGTTGGTAAACTATAAGATACTACTATGCTATTTGCTACATTTTTCTAAAGCTTATTTTGTCAAATAATAATTCACAAATACGTCACTCATTGTGCATAAAGGAACATTTAGACTGAAATGATGCTAAAATTAATCTAGAAATGACATTTGGATGATAAAAAAATGGTTTCTTTATTTAAAATAACTGATTTTAATAAATTATCTAATCTCATAGAGACATGCAGGGAATCCCAGCATGTCTCTATGAGATATGATCATTTATTCCAGCCAGGAAAATAACTACTTTAGACTTTTAGACTTTCTTCAGACTCATATTTTAACATACAGTTCCTCAGCATTTTGTTTGTTTTTATATTATTAAACATGATGCTATAACTTACAGCTAACATGGTCTGTGAGGCTTGTTAGCTTCCTCCTATTCATTATGCCACTATAAACATTCACTTCTAATGCCGTTCCCCTGGACCACAGGATATCTCTAGACTTACCTTATAGTGTTACTGGATGAATTCCCAAGCAGAATAGGGTCTTTTATGGAGTCCCCCCCCATGGCCCAGTACTGGCCCCCGTCCTCTCCACCTTATACACCTTGGATGTCTGTTACAACTCTCAGCTTTGTCACATCCAGAAGTATGCAGATGACACAACCATTGTGGGGTGTATTAAGGACCGCAGAGAGCAGGAGTTAGGGAGTCTGGTGGGGTCTTCGCCACCTGGTGCCGCTCCAACCAGGAGCTCAACATCTCCAAGATGAAGTAGCTGGTCATAGACCGTGGGAGGAACAGACCAAAGACTAAGCCGGTACTACTGGAGGGGGCTAAGGTGGAGGCTGTGGATTCATACCAATACCTCAGGGTGTGGCTGGATAAAACTGGACTGGTCAACACACACCAACCACCTGCACAGGAAGACACAGAGCAGGATGGACTTCCTGAGGAGACTGAGGTCCTTCAACATCTGCAACAAGCTGTTGAAGATTTTCTACCAGTCTGTGGTTTCCAGTGTCCTCTTCTACACCGTGGTGCAGTATGGGCATGGGCATGGGGGAGCAGCACATCCATGAAGGACACCTCCAGACTGGACCAACTGGTGAGGCCATCCGTCTCTGTGATTGGCTGGAAGCTGGACCCTCTGGGGACGGTGGCAGAAACAAGGACACTTAACAAACGGCTGGACATTAAGGACAATGCCAGCCACATCTGATGCTAAACATTACCTATTGTCACTCATGTGCAATATTCTTCTCTCTCACCGTGCAATAACTCAGGCCA